TTCTTATTATGTCACAATATCGCAAAACAAAAATAATGTGCTTTGGGAAATAGAAGATCCCGGAGACTGGGAAGGTGAAGACTAGAGGAGCTGGGGACCTAGCTTTGGCTTCACCTCCCTCACTGATACAGCATGGGGGAGAAGTCAGAGAACTGTAGGGCTCCAGAGGATCTTTTCAATGGTTTGAAAGTTACAGATCCCCAGGAAGCAGAGTGTGCTACCCCTCCGGTTTCCAGTCCCAAAGATCACCATCTCCAGAGCAAGCTGCTCAAGGACGTTGCAGCTCATTCCCAGGAAGACCAGGGAGAAGAGGAGTGTTTTCATGACCTTAGTGCCTCATTTGAGAAGGAGGAGCCAGGAGCAGACAAGGCTGAGAACAAACCTGATGATGTGAATTCCTCTGAACTTGATGAAGAATACCTAATAGAACTGGAAAAAAACATGCCAGTTGAGGAGAAACAGAAGAGAAGAGAAGAGAGCACTAGCCTAAAGGAGGAGGGAAATGTGCAGTTTAAGAGAGGAGATTATATAGAAGCTGAGAGTTCTTATAGTCAAGCCCTTCAGATGTGCCCATCCTGCTTCCAGAAAGACAGGTCTATTCTGTTTTCAAATAGAGCTGCTGCAAGGATGAAACAGGACAAGAAAGAGATGGCCATCAGTGACTGCAACAAAGCAATTCAGTTAAACCCCTGCTATGTCAGGGCAATACTGAGGAGAGCGGAGTTGTACGAGAAAACAGACAAGCTAGATGAAGCCCTGGAGGACTATAAATCCATTTTAGAAAAAGATCCATCCGTACATCAAGCAAGAGAAGCTTGCAAGAGATTACCTAAACAGATTGAAGAACGTAATGAAAGGCTAAAGGCAGAGATGTTAGGTAAACTAAAAGATCTTGGGAACTTGGTTCTTCGACCTTTTGGACTCTCCACCGAAAATTTCCAGATCAAACAGGATTCCTCTACTGGTTCCTACTCCAACAATTTTGTTCAAAATCCAAATAATAACAGATAACAAAGTTAACAGTAGCTTGTAAAGCTGGCTTGGAGATTGTGTGCTGCTTGCTATTAACAAGGGGGAAGGCCCTGCCAATATTTAACTAAATTAAAAGCATTTTATCTCGAAGACAGGCTATCCACTGGGGCCCAGTGTTCCCTTTTCCCTCTTGTTTTCCGATCAGGGTGAAATGCACTTCTGATGTCATAAGCCTAATTTGATTCCCATTTTAAGGTGGTGTCTGCAGCTGTTGCCCTTGGTTCTGGCTGTCCTTGGCTTTGTCCGGGACGAAGCCTGCTTGTCAAAGCTGACCTCCCTGAGCTATACACGCGAGCCCAGCCAGAGCGTCCCCCGGCCCGAGCAGACCTGCCGGTTGGAGACTGCCCGAACATGATTCCTGGGGTTCCCGCCTGCTGTCCCCTGTCCCTGATGACTCACACCACCCAGGCTGCCGGGCATGGGCTCCGGCGTCTCCTGGTTTCTTCTGTGGTAAATAAATGCTTTCTGTGACGGTCAAAAAAAAAAAAAATGTGCTTTCATAGAACATATATACAATGAGGGAAAGAAAGGAAAAGGAATAGGAGAAATCAAGGATGGCTCCTAAATTTTTGCTTGAGTAATGAGGTGGTGATGTATTTATCGAACTAGAAGTGCTAGACTGGGGGATGGGAGGGGGCAGGCATTAATGGGTTTGGACATGTGAAGTTGGAGGTGACTTTTAGATATTTAAGGGGAGATTTCAGGTAGGCATAGGAATCAGGGGTCTTCTGTTCAGGGGAGAGATGAAAGCTGGAGATATATATTTTTTTAGTCATCATCACATAAATGGTATTTAAAGTCATGGACCAAATGAGATCATTTAGAGGAAATTTTCAGAAAGAAGAGACCCAAAGTCAAACCCTTGAGTATTCAAACATTTGGAGGTAGAACAGAGGAAGAGTTTTAGTAAAGGAAATACAGAAGTAGTCTTAGTGAAGTGGGAGAAACTAGATTTTTTGAGATGTTCTAGAAACCAAAATAAGGAAGTGTTTTAATTATGTTGAGTGCTGTTGAGGTCAAATGTAATGAGGACAGAATGGAATTTCATTAGTAACTTTACAAGATCAGTTTCAGGAGAATAGAGTCAAGAAGCCATTAGAGTGGGCTGCAGAGAAAATTGGAGGTGAGAAAATGTAGGCAGCAACAAGAAGCAACTCTTAAGAAGAATTTTTCTATGAAGGAAAGTTAAGAAATGGTGCAATTGCTCAAGTGGGCTACAGATCAAGAAAGGATTTTTTTAAAGTAGACTCCATGCCTGCCCTGCATGGAGCCCAACACTGGGCTTGAACTCATGACCCTAGATCAAGACCTGAGCTGAGATCAAGAGTCGGACACTTAACTGACTGAGCCACTCAGGCACCCCAAGAAAAGATTTTAATTTTAAAAAAATATTTTATTTATTTGAGAGAGAGAGAGAGAGTGAGCACATGAGCAGGGGTGGAGGGTCAGAGGGAGAGGGAGAAGCAGACACCCCACTGAGCAGTGGCCCAATGTGGGGCTCGATCCCAGGACCCTGAGATCATGACCTGAGCCAAAAGCAGACACTTAACTGACTAAGCCACCCAGGTGCCCCAAAAGGATGTTTTAAAAAAAATTTTTTTTTTAAGATTTTATTTATTTGCGAGAAAGAGAATGAGAGACAGAGAACATGAGAGGGAGGAGGGTCAGAGGGAGAAGCAGACTCCCTGCTGAGCAGGGAGCCTGATGCGGGACTCGATCCCGGGACTCCGGGATCATGACCTGAGCCGAAGGCAGTCGCTTAACCAACTGAGCCACCCAGGCGCCCCCCAAAAGGATGTTTTTAAAAGATGAGATATAAAAATATGTTTTTATGACATTGAAAATGCCAGTAAAGTCAATGGCTACTAATATCGAGTGGGCTCTTACTGTTACCGAGCAATAGTACTATATTTCCTTAATCCATTCACTCTCCCACATTCCTAAGTAACTATCATTAGAATCTCAGATGCCATTGACTATAAGATACATAAATATTTCACATACTCTAAAAAAGAAAAAAAAATACTGCCAGTTAAACTATGGCATGCCAACATTTGTAAGAAAGCAAATTTCGCAGATGTTAAAATATGAAAAGTGTATTAGAATCAATGTAATATAGTATTTCTTTTCTCTCCTCAGACCTCTAATACCTTCTCCCTATCTTCATTTTCAGCTTCCTATTTCACTGAGAAAACAGAAGCACTCAGAAAAGGACATACTCATTCTCCCACCACCAAATCTGTGTGCCTATCTGCATCTGTACCTATAAATTCTGTCTCCCTTTTTATTTCAATAGATGAATGTTCCATACTCACAACTGATCCTTCTGATGTGTACTGGATTCCATCCCTTTTCTCAAGGACTTTCTTTCTGCAACTGTCCCATGTCTCCTATATTGTCAATTTCCCCCTCTACTGTATCATTTTAATTAGCATACATACTATAATTTCTTCCAACTTAAAAAAAAAATTCTGGACCCCAAATCCATATGCAATGACAGCTTTCTTTTTCTACTCACCTTTAAAAAAATCAAACTTTTAAAAAAAATATTTTTA